CTTACACAAATGGTTTTTATACATTTTTCAACTATTCTTCCTAAATGTACACTTTAAAATAAATATACACAAAGTGTTTTGGGGGAAAGAAAAAAGAACACATTACAAGATGACAGTCAGTCAGCCCCTGTTGGGAGACTAGATAAATCTCAGGGGCATGTGGAGGGTAATGGTCCTAGTTCTTTCTTGCTGGAACTTAAGAATATAGACACAAAGCCAACATCAGCCTGTTTTGTTCCTCTCAGAAATAACCATAGGAAGTGGCGCTGTAGCTCAAGTGGTAGAGCACTCGCCTTGAGCTGAAGAGCTGAGGGACAGCGCCCAGGCCCAGAGTTCAAGCCCCATGGCCGACCAAAAAAAAAAAAATAATAACTTGTAAGAAATAACCATAAACTGGAGTATAATGGGGACTAAAGCAAATGAAAGTAATCGGGCTTATAAATCATGTGATTGGAGAACTGAATCTTAAGAAATAACAGTTTGAATTATAAGAGCAAACAAGTCTACCAGAGACATTAAGAGTTAAAAGTATAAAAATGTTTTGAACAAAAGAAGCAACTAATTTCTCTCAGAAACTTAGAAGGAAGCTGGCTAGAGTGCTAAAATGTGAACGCAAGGCTTGAGGTTTATTGGAAAAACCTTGTTTACACAATTGTGTCAACTCCAACAGGAAGAAACCCAAGGAATTATGCCTGACATCTAGTGGAGGCTTTAAGAAAGTGTGGAGACAAAAAATTACATGAAAGGAGAAAAAGTTTCATATAAAAATAAATCTGTAGAAGTCATCATCTACAGTATCCATTCATTCATTCATTCATTCATTCAACATATTGTAAGTACCTATAATGCTTTGGGAGCAAGGCTCAGCACTGGAAATGCTATGGACTAGAAGCCAAAGTCCTAGCCTTTGTGGAATTTATATTTTCATGATGCAATGTATTTTATTTTGAGGAAAAGACCTTAACATTTTTGAAGTTATTTATGACATATGAGTTTCTTAAAAGCATTTTCATATGTATTACCCTTAAACAGATCTTGAGATAGTTGACAGCTTTATTATCATCATTTCTAAGAAAGGTCTTGTGATTTTTTTAATCTAATTTTCTATCGTATTACCTTTTATGATTCAACAAATCAGCTATTCAAACTCCCTCTTAATTCTGAACTTACCAATTGTTTCTAATGCTTCAATTGCTGCCTGTTCTACAGTAACAATTTTCTATTGTGTCAGTGCAGTAGAAAAGGATTGGTCTAGCTGAGAGTGGTGGTACATACCTATAACCCTAGCAATCAAAAAGTTGAGACAAGAGTTTCTCAAATTTGAGGCCAGCCTGGACTACACAATGAGAAACTGTGTCAAACACAAAAGAATTAATCCAACATACAAAAGACCTTTCTTTTTTTTTTGTTGGTCATGGGGCTTGAACTCTGGGCCTGGGTGCTGTCTCTCAGATCTTCAGCTCAAGGCTAGCGCTCTACCACTTGAGCCACAGCGCCACTTTTGGTTTTCTGGTGGTTTATTGGAGATTATAGAGTCTCACGGACTTACCTGCCCAGGATGGCTTTGAACCATAATCCTCAGATCTCAGCCTCCTATGTAGCTAGGATTATAGGCGTGAACCACCACACCTGACTCAAAAGACCTTTCTATGTCAAACTATAAAACTTTACTCAAAGTCACAAAAGGTTATTTAAGTAAATGGAAAGATAAAAACATATTTGTGGAATGGAGTATTTAATACTGCGAAGTTGCCAATTTTCTACAATTTGATCTTTAAATTTCATAAACAAATTTCATGAATAAATAAATCTCCAACATAAAGTTTCCTGCCTGGTGCTGGTGGCTCATGCCTGCAATTCTAGCTACTCAGAAGTCTGCGATCTGTCACTGTGGTTTGAAGGCAGCCCAGACTGGAAAGTCACTGAAGCTCTTATCTCCAATCAAGTCTACATAAAAGCCAGAAGTGGAGCTATGTGGCTCAAGTGATAGAGAACTGCTCTAAGCAAAAAAGCTCAGAAACAGCATCCCCAGGACAGACAGACACAGACACATGGGCAGACAGAAACACACACACATACATACCCCTACTTACTCACACACATATCCAGCAACAAAATTTTTATGGGAAATTGAGTAAGCTGACTACAAAGTTTATATGAAAGAGAAAACAAAGGAAAAAGAATAGATGAGATACTACTGAAAAGATAATAAATCTTTAATGGTAATTAAGATAGTATGACAATGATACAGAGACAGAACAGAATAAAGAGCCCAGAAACTAGCCTGTGCATATCTGGAAACTTCAATTTTACAATGGTGGTACCACAAGGCAATGGGAAATGACAAATTACCCAATAATCACTAGACACTATATTGAAAATGAACTAATAACTTGCAGGTGGGGATGAGAAGGAAAAACTAGGAGAGAACGAAGGAAAGGGTAATGCTGTCCAAAAGAAAAGTACTCTTTACCTGACTTACACAACTATAATCCCTTTGTGCATCACCTTTATAATAACAATAAAATTTTTTATATAAAAAATTACCCAATAAATCATGCTGAAAAAGTCGTTATTCAAATGCAGAAGAGGAGAGAGGTGAATACTCTACATCACAGTATACACAAAAATCCATACCAGATAAATTAAGGGCCTATGTAGGAGGAATACCTTAGAGTATAAGAGAAAAAGAAAAAAACTTCTTGAAGCAGGCATAGAATTTTAAAAAAAAATCCAACACAGAAATTATTTACCAAGCCAGGTGCTGGTGGCTCACACCTGTAATCCTAGCTACTCAGCAGACTGAGAATTAAGGATTGCAGTTCAAAGCCAGTCCAAGAAGGAAAGTCCGTTAGACTCTTATCTCCAACTAACACCTGAAAACCAGAAGTGGCACTGTGGCTCAAGTGGTAGAGCACTAGCCTTGAGCTGAAGAACTCAGAGACAGCACCCAGGCCCAGAGTTCAAGCCTACAACTGACCCTCCCCCCCCAAAAAAAATTATTAACCAAGAATTGGACACAGTTAAGAAATTCAACAACAAAAATTATTTTACAAACAAAAGGCAAATGGTATGCTAGAACACAGTCAGAGGGCATTTAAAGAACATGAATTTAAAACACACTGTATAAAAAATTAACAGGACGTAAGAAACAAAGGACTTCCACTCATCTGGTCGAATCACTACTAAATAACCCCATGCTGCTGATCACATGTATGGTATATATGTGTACACCGGAGGGGAACCAGGAAGATGACACAGAACTAGAGGGAATCAGGGGAAAACATGTAACAGCGGGACCCATCAGCTGCACTGGACATTGACCAAAATGAACTAAGCAACTTAATGGCAGTGATGGGAGGAAGGGAACAAGTGGGAAAGAGGGAACAGCTGATGCTATGCAAAACAAATGTACATACCACCCAATGTGGAAGAAATAACTGTATCACAAAGTTTATAGAACTCATAAATGTTAAAGACCATGATAGACATTTTGCTCCAGGAAAGTTAGAATGTGTTTGTAACTTTAATTGGGCATCACTATCCACAATACTGTGAAATTTGGGAAATTATGTAACCACTTAATCACAATAAAAAATTTGAAAAAAAAAACCACTGTATAAGGAAGTCAATTCAGTAATAAAATCAATAGCTAAGGTAGGAAGGGGTACGCGGTGTGTGTGTGTGTGTGTGTGTGTGTGTGTGTGTGTGCACGCGCATGTGTGTGTGCACGTGTGCGCGCACGCGAGTGCTTGTGCTCAGTTTATGCAGTAGAAACTAAAGGAAGTTACAAGAAAGAGTTTTAAGAAAAACTGGGATGGGTTGAAACCTAAGAGTTAAAAATAAATTTGGGACTGGGAATGTGGTTTAGTGGTAGAGTGCTTGCCTAGGATGCACAAAGTCCTGGGTTCGATTTCTCAGTACCACATAATCAGAAAAGGCTGGAAGTAGAGCTGTGGCTCAAGTGGAGGAGTGCTAGCTTTGAGCAAAAGAAGCTCAGGGACAGTGCCCAGGCCCTCAGTTCAAGCCCCAGGACTGGCAAAAAATTAAAAAAAAAAATTGGCCCATTGCATTCAATAATGTCTAAAACTGATAAGACATGGCATTATTTTCATAGTAACGTAGCATTATAAAGGCAATGATTAGATCTAAAACCTAGACACAAGTGAGAGTAAAGTGTAGCAGGGTGTGTTGTATTTATTATAAGCTTTTCTGAATTATTGATTTTTAATAAATATAAAAGTGTTTTGAAGGGCTGGAGGCGTGGCTAGCTGGTAGAGCAAAAGGGTCACAGTTTGAAGCTTAGTCTCAGACCAAAGCGGGGGTGGGGGAAGAAGTGTTTTTGAATCACTGAAAGGAAAGAAAAAGATCAAAATAGCTCTGTAGTCAAACTAACTTGCATTAGACAGGGAAAAGAAAATGAACTGAACAGAAAGTCTTCCACACACCTGTTGAAGACTAATGATCCCAAATCTGCCAACTTTATCTAGAAGAATAAGCTTATTACCATCACTTAATTCAAAGTAAACACATAGTTTAGAGACTGAGGCCTATCATTCATTCACTGATTGCTTCTTTTCCTCCTTGCCTTTTGGTATGTGTCTATCTTTTGTTTTTGTTCTCTCTAGTTTTGTTTTATTTAGCATGAATGAGAGAGCGAGACAGAGAAAGAGACAGAGACAGAGAGACAAAATTATTAGGTTTATTTGTAGGAAGCCAATCACAAAAGGCAACCCAGCTCAACAGCCCAAAAATTACTCTTCAGTGCATTTATGCTTCTGGAGACTGCTATACTTATTTAGGTTTCAGAAACTAAGAGCTAGGTTTCCATGTAGATATTTATAGTGATTTAAAGAAATGAGAGCTTAAAGTCTGAGTTCCCTAGTACAAAAGCAACACACAGAAAGTTCATCATACATGTGAGGTGATATTGTTTTGATCCGAAGGGATTTTGCAAGACCCCCATTCCCAGTCTGGTCTACATTCAGGCAAATACTTACACTATATGTGCAAGGTCAAGTGGTTTCTCTGGCTGCTCAGGAAAAACAGGATGTGGGGGTTCTCTGGAGGGTACGCACCCCAAAGATTTACTAATTGCATGGCTCAGCTTCTTTGCAGGGGATTTCTGGGTCAAAATAGAGAATAAGGAAATAAAGAATTAACTCTTAAAAAGATAAAGACATACAAAATAATTGTTGACAACATCATACACAAGTCAGATTTCATTCTAATCAACGTGAGTGGGACTTGCAGAAAGGAGCCTGCAGTGGTCCCAATGACACTAGTGGCCCCTTCATTTCTGTGGCTCCTCCCTTGTTCTATTATGTCATACTATCAAATTTGTGCTAACTTCCCTTCTGGACATCTTTCTGTACCCTTTGCATGATCTTCCTCTTCTGATACTTCTGGATTATTTAGGGCAAGATGTTAAAGTTTGATCAGTACAAAACTAAAAGGCTAAGATACGCTAAGAGCGAATGACTTATGAATACTAGCAAATCAACTAAGTTACATCCCTAAATGTCAGACTATTTCCAAATAAACAGAAAGCAGAGCATTTGCATTAAGGGTCTGGGCTGTGTAGGCAGATACAATGAGTACATACACATATAAAAGCAGTCAGCATCAGATACATGATTCTAAATGATTAAGTACAAAGGCACAAAAGTAAGTTGGCACAACAACACGTAGGTGTGGAAGTGGAAACACCAAATCCTAAAATTATTCACTATGATAATGAATAGTAAATATGCACAAAAATAAAGTAAGTTACACAGAACATTTACTTCTAAAGCCCTTATCTACGTTTTTTTTTTTTTTTGGTGGGGGGAGGATACTGAAGGGCAAACCCTGAGCATTCTGTCCACTAAACTCTGCCCCCAACTCTCTTAAAGATCCGATTCAAAAGATGTTCTTTTGAAACAGTTCATTCTAATATATCTGTAACACACATGTGCCATTTTAACTGGAAGTGTAGGCCTCCATGGGCCTCATCAATACCACATCATCAATACCACATCTCCATTTGATTTATTTTGTTTTTGTTTCATTTTGAAATATGGTCTTGTTGTAGTATAGACTGGCCTTCAACTCAGGATCCTTCTGCCTCAACCTCCCAAGTGATGGGATTTCAGACATGTATCACTACTTAATGTTTTTATGCTATTTGCTAGACTAATTTTACACAAAATAAACAAAAATCTGTTTGCCTGGGAGACCAAATAGGTAAAGTTAATTGATATCTGTTTACAATAATGGTTGAATTGTATCACTATCTTCAGAAACTTATTTTGGTTCCAAATTACCTATCACAGTGCCCTCTGATACACATATTCTAGAAAAGTCTAGCTATAACCTAGTCTCCTGCCAATCGCACAAAACTAAACAAAGCAGAAGTCCTGAACTTCTCCCCTAACTGCTGTCCACTTCCCTCTGTCCAACAAGTAGCTATAATGTGATATGAATTCTTCCCCTCCTGCCCATCTTCTGCCCTGCCTCTGAGAGCAAATCTGTCTTCTGCTTAAGATCTTTCTCAGGCTGGGAAATAAGCTTGAAAAGGATTTCATCACATCCACATGAGCACATTCCTGTCAGGCTCTTTTCTCTCATCTCTCACAAACACAAATGATAAAGCTGCTCAGTTCCTCTGTACACACCACCACTTTAGGCCCCTGGAGCTGCTACAGACCTATCCCAATCTGTCTTACAGTAAATGTTCTGTTCCCATCTCAAACCTGCTTGCAAGTATCACCTTCCTCTCTGGAGACTCACTGCTCCACAGGGCAGAGATGTCTTCCCCAGCTCTCACTGCTGCACTTGCCATGGCACACTGCAGTCTGTTTTCCTAGCTCTGTTACATTAGAGCTCCTGACAGGAAAGGCCATGTTATGTTCATCTTTGCCTTTCCAGAGCAGTTCCTATAACAGAGTATGTTATTTGATTACAATTTTCTAAATTTCTTTTGCCTAACAATATCACATCAGCTTTTTTTTTTAATTGCAAGTAGGAAAAAACAAAAGGAAATTAAAAAGAACATCTGGCTGGGCACTAGTGGCTCACATCTGTAATCCTAGCTACTCAGGAGGCTGAGATCTGAGGATGGTGGCTTAAAGCCAGCCTGGGTAGAAAAGTCTGAAGATTCTTCTCTCAAATTAGCCACCCCCCAAAACACCAGTAAGTTCAGGGATAGTGCTCAGGTCCCAAGTTCAAGCCCCAGGAGTGGGGGGAAAAAGAATATCTTAATTTTTCTTTATAACTGAAGAGTACAACTATGATCTCAGTAATTTCCTGATTTGTTGCTATGCCTAAGAACCCCTAGTCACTGACACATGCAGTATATGTGAGACAGACCTACTTTAGCTCCATCCTAACCAATAACAGCCACAAAACCACAAGCTTCAAATGTACATTTTATCAGAAGAACTAAAATAACGATATAACTATTAAAGTATTTGCTTTTGCATCCCTTAATATTCTTAGCAGCATGATTGTGACACTCTTGAAAAAACTTCTTAAGTCAAGGTCTAAGATCAGATCCAATTTCAATCCTCAAAAACTTAGATTAAACAAAGGAGGAGACAACAATGCTTGATAAGAAATGTACTCATTACCTTGCTCATGTTACTGTAACCCCTCCTCTGTACAGTATTTTCACAATTAAAAAAACTTATAAAAACTTAGATTATAAAAAGTAAAATTAACTCATTAAAGTCAATTTCAGGTAATTACATTATATTAAACAGAGGCTGATACATGTGAGGAAGGGATAAAAACCAACGTGTGTGTGTGTGTGTGTGTGTGCGTGCGTGTGTGTGTGTAATTAAGAACTATATTATTAACTAAATGTAGGAACAGACCAAAGAGGACAGCACCTGAATTTTTTAAGTTATACATTCAATTAAGTTGTCTAGACATATAAATAAGTGATTCCTGTAAAAATCTCAAGGATTGGTTCTGATACGGACCTAAAGTGAATACTGACAGAGCTAATTTAGGAAGCTTAGGTAACCATCTCTAAGGATGAAGGTGAAAAATGCTACCAGTGGGAGAGAGAGCAAGGGAAGGGGTGAAACTGTCCAAAAAGAAATGTACTCTACCTGACTTATGTAACTATTACCCCTCTGTACATTGCCTTTATAATAACAATTAAAAATTTTTTGTAGCCAGGTGCTGGTAGCTCATGCCTGTAATCCTAGCTACTCTGGAGGCTGAGATCTGAGGTTCATGGTACAAAGCCAGCCCTGGCAGGAAAGTTTGTGAGACTCTTATCTCCAATAAACCACCAGGAAACTGGAAGTGGTGCTGTGGCTCAAGTGGCAGAGTGCTCACCTTGAGCTGAAGAGCTGAGGGACAGTGCCTAGGCCCAGAGTTCAAACCCCACAACCAGCAACAACAAAAAAATTTTGTGTGGGGGTCGTGGGGCTTGAACTCAGGACCTAAGTACTGTCCCTGAGTTCTTTTGCTCAAGGATAGTGCTTCATCAGTTTGAGCCACAGCTCCACTTCTGGTTTGCGAGTGCTTGACCGGAGATGAGTCACACGGAGACTTTCTGCCTGGTCTGGGTTCAAACTGTGATCCTTAGATCCCAGCCTCTTGAGTAGCTAGGATTACAGGCATGAGCTACCAGTGCCTGGCTGTTAAAAAAAAAAGGATTGAAATAATGCTATCAATACCACTGATTTTCTGAATAAATAAAAGACTTGTTTTATCCTATATGGATAATCAACTGTCTCAAGATCATTTAGCCAATACTAGTAGGTAGATACTCTGTTTCTGTCCTATGATTTAATTGCTACAATTTCTGATTTTTAGTTTATGCTGATCCTGGGACTTGAACTCGGGTCGGGGCCTGGTTGTTGTCCTTGAACTTTTTTGCTCAAAGTGGAGCCACAGCTCCACTTCTGGATATTTTTGTGGGGGGGGGGGTAGAAGAGGGAGAAGTAGCTAATTGGAGATGAGTCTCAAAGACTTTCCTGTCCAGATTGGCTTCAAACCATGAGCCTCAGATCTCAGCCTCCTGAATAGCCAGGATTATAGGCAGGAGCCCCTTAATTATTCTTGACCCATTTCATTAAACTTCAAAATCAGTTTGTCATTTAGCAAACACACACACACACACACACACACACACACACACACACACACACACTGGGATTTTTATGAAAGCTGATCAAATCTATAAGTAATTTGGCAGAAAACTGACATCTTTACTCACTGAATGCAAATGTGTTCATCTGTCCATGTATTTGAGCTTTCTTTAACATCTTTTGCCAGTTTTAGATTCATCCCACAATGGTTCTATGCATCTCTGTTATTTACTTCTACTTATTATATAGTTTTATACCTAGAAACTGAACTTAGCTGCTTTTTGAAATTGTGGTAAAGTATACATTATAAAATTTATCTCAACCATTTTTAAATGTAGTTTTGTAGTGTTAGGCAAGTTCACATCATTGTGTGGAAAAAAAATCTCCAGAATGTTTCCAACCTACAGAGCTGAAACTATAAACCTACTAAACAACTTGCCCCCTCCACCCAGCTCGGGAGCTACAGATGGACACCTGAGTGGTATCTACCTCTAGACTACACTCAGTAATGTTGCTAGAAGCCAGGTGCTGATAGCCCAGGCCTAAATTCTAGCTTTTCAAGAGGCCAAGATTTGAGGATCACAGTTCAGGACCAGCCTACACTGAGAAATCCTTATCTTCTTCAGAAGTGGAGGTATGGCTCAAATGGTAAAGCACCAGCCACAGCCAAAAGCAGAGCATGAGTGGGAGGCCCTGAATTCAAACTCCAATAACCCCTCACACAGATAAAAATCATGCTAGGCATGTGAGTGAATATTTGTACCTCCTTGCGACCCTATTTTCAACTTTGTGGGGATATATATCCAAAAGAGTTGCTGAATTTTATTTCATTTTTATTTATTTATTTATTTATTTGGTCAGTCATGGGGCCTGAACTGTGGGATTGGGCACTGTTCCTCAGCTCTTCAGCTCCAGGCTAACACTTACCTCTAGAGCCACAGTGCCATTTCCAGCTTTTTCTGCTTATGTGGTGTTGAGGAATCGAACCAAGAGCCTCATGCATGCAAGGCAAGCACTCTACCATTAACCACCTTCCCAG